ACGAGTGGATACCACCGTGAGCATTTTCAACTTACACAATCATATCATTATCATTATACGTAGTATATGTAATGTATAAAATATACAACAGTGATATATCATATATTATATGCCATATATAATAAATATATCATTACATATTATTATAAGTTACATTATCTGTTCCTGTACCCTGTGGTTCAGAATATTAAAGCTTCAACTAAGGACTTAAGGTTTACCTAGATTTTGTAGTAATGGATCTCTGTGAGTTCAAGGCCTGGTTGGTCTACATAGTTTGTTCCAGGCCAGTGGGGGCCACAGGCAGAAGCTGTCTGAAAAAGATAAAAGCAAAGAAACAAAAAGACCTACAAGAGCCTCCAGAAAGAAAACAGAGAAAAGACAGTCTCAATCAACAACTAACACCAGCTGTACAAATCATAATGGGGAAAACAAAAACAGCAGGAGTCAGGTGTGGTGGCCACAGGCCTTTAATCACTGAAGTGAGATTCAGGCCAGCAGGCCAGCTGGGACCACAGAATGATCCTATCTCAAAAAGACAAATAAAACAAAACGAAAAACCAAAGTTCAATGTTCCTTCCAGGAATTGCCAACCCCAGGCTGGTGCACTCATGTGATAGATAAGGTACTTGAAGCCAAACCTGAGGACCTGAGCTTGATCCCTGGGATCCATATAATGGAAAGCAAGAACTGATTCCTGCCAGTTGCCTCTGACCTCCACACATGTGCCATGGCATGGGTACCTATACATATGCACAAAATAAAAAATTCCAATAAAATATATCAATGCCATGATAATGACCCCAATGAGAGTGATACTGTGGCAAGGGTAGTGACTCCATCTTATTTCCCCTCCTCCATTTCTTCTCCATGAGCCAGGCAGACTGGACCCACAACTGAACCTAGCTCTAGTAAGTTTCCCTCCCTCCCTTAGGGGCCTGATCCTGAGAAATAGTTTACCACAGATAGTGATGTCACCACTCAAGACCCTGTGACTGTTTAGTATCTTGAGACCCTGTTTACTTACTCAAGAAACTAACTTAGGTAGGCCTGCCCCTGCAGCCATGCTCCCTGTAGCACACATAGCCTCTCTTAGGCTGGCTCTAGTCCATGTGTACAACTTTCATCATTGGACATATTACAGACTTCGGGACCACTGGGAAAGACTACCCAGACTCAAAAAGTTCCAAATCAGCCGAATTAAGCTTTTACAATTTTGTTAGAAATTTAAAGAAAAAGAAATCCTCAGGGCAGGTGAGCTGGTGATCTTGGCAGCTGCCTTTAGGAAGTGAATGGTAGGAAGAAAGAAGAGTCAGCCTGGGAGGTCAGACACATGGCTGACTGGCAGCCACATGGCTGGGAGAAGGAAGCTTTAGAGAAAGTAAGAAATGCAAGATGCTAGGGGCAGACCAAAGCCTTAAAGAAAGCATGTTCAGTAAGAAAGGTATGAAGAAGAAAAAGGGAAGTTATACTTCCCAGAAGAATTGAGGGAAGCATGTGACTCACCGACTACATGGCCCTAGGAAGCTCTGCACCAGTAGGCAGGATTACAGGCAGGAAAAACTTGCTAGCTCATCTATTTAGCATAACCCACCTTCCTGGGGTGGTCCTATAACTAGATGATTGACCAGTTAAACTTACACAAAATGGAGGCGTTTGAGATTTTACAGACATGCCAGTGTAAGAGTGAAACCACAGAGGACAAGTCAGCCTTTGGGTTGCAACAGCAAGAGGTTTATTTAGTACACAGGTACCTGTGGGCACAAAGTCTCCTCGGGGGACTTGCGCGCCTACAGGCTGGGGTTTGGCACTTTTATAGAGCAGAAGCAGGATACAGAAGCAGAAACACGGTTATTGGTTAGTTTAAACTATTACAAAATGCTACGGGGAGAGCGGGGAGCTTACTTATCACTAAGCCAGATGTCTCAGCCATAAAACTTACTTATCGGCAAGCCAGATGTCTCGGCCATAAAACTTACTTATCGGCGAGTTGGAATTCTTGACCGGTACGCGACCTGCCTGAGAGACTTCATGGCTCCTGACTTTTGTTTTTTTTTTTCATTCCTTCCTTTTTCTTTGTAACTATGGAGGGGAATCTTTCCCTTCTCTATAGATTATCAGGGTCACTGGTTTCTAGGGCTTAGTATTGGCTGGTCAGCACTAAGTTCTGGACAACTGATAGCCTTTCTCGTATGAATTGAGTCAACCGGTTGAAAATGCAGGGGCCTATTGTTAAGATTAAGAGTAGGGACACCAGGGGCCCAATAAGAGGTAGAAGATAAGGCAGAATTCCATTCCACATGCCCCACATGGGGTTAGCAAAAAGCTCCTGTCGCCTTTTTTCTAGCTCTTCTTGGTGCTTTTTAATCCGATCTCTGACGATCCCGGACTTGTTGGTATAAAAACAGCATTTTTCCTGTAAAGCTAAACAGATACCTCCCTTGTCTGCTGTTA